CTTCTTTAATATTTTCATTTCTTTTATCCAATTATTCTTTTTCATTTCTCCAATTATTTTTTTCTTTTTTGCTTTAATAATAAGTTACATGTTGATAAACTTAATCAAACACACATAAATAATAATTCTTTGTCAAGTAAAAAAAATATAAATAGAAAGCAGAGAGCAACAAATATCACATTTGTTCAAATAAAAAGCATCTGATTAAACCTTACGAAGTAAATTTTCTACTCACTTTTACTAAAATTGAATGATAAGTTACATTTTGATGAAAAAATTAATCAAACATACACATAAACAATAATATTTTTATGGGTTAATATTTTCGTATGGCCTGAACTTTGATCAAAATAAACATCCTGGCCAATCTTTTCGATCTATAACATCCTGGCCCGAACTATACACCAAAATAAACAATTTGGCCAGATCCGACTTTTGACAGTTAACTTGGACGGTCAAACGCGTTGATTGTTAGCAATGCAGTCAAAAGCGCGATTCTACGTAGAAGCGAAAAAGGGGTAAAATCGTAAAGCGTAGAATTAAAGCGTAAAAGCGTAAGTTTTTGACGCATACTGCAAAAGAACTAAAAATATGTAAAGTACGACATATACTATGAAAAATATGAGTGCACAAAATTCAGATAAGTTAATAAATACTTGCAATTCATGTCTAAAGTAGAGCAACTTATAGCCTCTTAATTAATAATAAGTTCATAAATATAAATCTTATAAAAAAGTCACCTTCCCCTCCATGCTAATGAATTTGAGAAGAGCCTAGATAGTAAATTAGATTATTTTATTGAAGTTCATAATGCATCCAAGTATCTGATATGTTTCTTTTAATCTTAAACGTATAATATTGTCGGTGATTTATTTTTAAAATTTATTTTATATAATCAATTTCATGAAAAGAAGACCCATTCAGTGAAGTAAAAGCGTAAAAACGTAAAGCGTTTTAGTGAACTAGAAGCGTAAAATCGTAAGTTTTTAAGTTTTAAAGCGCAATTTAGTATGATTTTATACACTAAAGTTTTTACATAGAAACGAAAGCGTTTTGGTGACCTAGAAGCGTAAAACCGTAAGTTTTTAAGTTTTAAATCGCGATTTTGACTGCATTGATTGTTAGTCAACGCGCCATGTCACTGCCAAGTCAGCATAAAATATTTAAAATAATTCACAATTTCCACACATTCCCTAATTTTAAATTATTATAAATTAAAAAAATCATCTAATACCTTAGTTAAACCAAAATTAAAAAATTAAAAAAATTAAATATTTATAAGATCTTCTAACTTGGCAGTGACGTGGCGCGTTGACCGTTAGTCAACGCGTTTGACCATCCAAGTTAACGGTCAAACATCGGGTTTGGCCAAATTGTTTATTTTGGTGTATAGTTTGGGTGAGGATGTTATAGATCGAAAAGATTGGCCAGGATGTTTATTTTGGTCAAAGTTCAGGCCATACGAAAATATTAACCCTATTTTTATCGATTAAACAAAATATATATGAAAAGACAGAAAATAAACATTTGACATTCAATTACCTTTGAAAAATAAACTATATTACTTTATATTTTGTTTCAATGAAACAGTCTCTTATTCGTAAAGTATATGTCTATAAAATAAAATAATTATTATTTAGCAAAATGTTAGAGTATAATCTTGATCGAGTAGTTACAGTTATTTATTTATTAAAGACTTCTTATTCAGTCAGATCATGTTCTACCATAAACTCCTCAAATGAAGAGGAATTGCAAGTACAATAATTTTATAATGTGTCCTAAGTTCACATTAATAATATTTGCTCTATATCATGTTTCATTGAACAATCTCTTTTTTTTTTTTTTCTGAGTGATATCAATGGAGGAAAATAGTTAAACTTACAATTCTACCCAGGACCCCTAAAAGACTCTAAAGAAGCCACCCAAAAAAATCAAAAGATTCTACCTCTAAACGAGACAAAAGCAGTGCTTTACGCGCCACTCTATGGGCAGCACTGTTGGCGGATCTAGGTACCGCCCTAAACTCTATACAAACAGACAAAGAGCTAAGGATCTGCTGACACTCTCGTAACGCCGGACCACCAATCGAGTCTTCTATGATGCCTTGACGAACTTGTTTGACGACCACTTCGGAATCACCTTCGACTATCACGCGGGTCAAGGATCTTGAGGCTACGATGGAGATAGCATCTCTAAAGGCTAGAAGCTCTGCCAGGTAAGGATTGACTATTCCTTGAAGCTGCAGCCCAAACGCCAACGCATTGACTATTCATTGAACAATCTCTATTGAGGTCCTATGTCGTATGCTAAGAAATTTTCTTTCAGACTTGGAGTTATCGTCGATGATTATAAATCAAAATTTTCAAAATGACTTAAGTATGATTGTTAACGAACTTTGACTTCATACCCTAGGATGAGACACAAGATTCATTGAAAAATAATATATGTGAAGGTTAGAGAAATCTTTGTTGACAATCTACGATAAACATCATGTTTCATCAACTAATAACCTAGGCATTTACCAAATAAAGGTAGGCAATTTTTAGTAAGATAGTCAATTGGGATGAACATATTTATCCAACAATCAATATCTTTATCCAATCATCTCAACTCTCAAAATTGGTTGCCGGTTCGTCCAAACTTAAGAAACACGAATTGATATATGTTGTATAAGATAATAAGTTAATGCAAATAATCAAATGAAATCCACCGATATTGTTGAAACGATAAGATATTTTAAATGCATTTGAAATATGTGTGTATTGTAGACACTCTTTATCAATTATTAATATATAAGTGATAAAATCTTTGAAAATTATACATTCAACGACCATGTTAAGACCAAAATCCTTGATAGTGTGTGTGAGTGTCTTAGATTGAGATTCTAAGCCAACATATAAACAATGACCACGGGTTGAGGTTTAGTCTAAACTTCAAGAATTAACAATTGATACATATTGTATAATATACTAAATTTAAGTGTCTTGATAAAAAAAATAACATCCAAAACGGAATGAGTCGAGATTAGAGAATCTAATCATCATGAGGGCTACAGTGTGTGTCGAGTTTCAATATAGATGAATAAATTGATCCAATAATGAAGTATCGTTACAACATTGGTCGAGAGTTTGTCCAAAATCGAGGATCATGAATGTGTATTGGATTTCCAAATTACCTAAAATCCCAATCCCTTTTGGGGCTAAATACCTCCGATCACAACCATAGGTGCCAAAGAAGAATGAAAAGAAGCCAAAAAAAGAAAATAACCTCTGATACGATGAACAGAATAAAACCATATTGAGCTATGATCTTGTCATCCCTACCCTTTTATTCTCTATAAAGGGGGTTGTGGGAGAGGATAAGAAATAAATAGCAGGATCTTAGGATTTGCCTCTTTATATATTACATATTGGACGATAGACAACCCCAATGGTTGTCTGACGTTATGGGGGTAAAACCGGGATCTCTATCCCGAGAATGGGGGATAGGCAAGTAGCACTTTTAATATGAAAATGTTATCCAAACCTTGAATTGACTGATCTTTCGGACATGATACCATACTCCAACCCTTAGAGATCAAAATCTAGGTTTTAATTCTCTAAATCTTATATCGCAAGATCAATTTAATTAGAAACAATGATCGAAGGTTATGATTCTTCCAAATATAGGCAAAAAAATGAATGCATCATCTTAGGGTTTATAGTTAATGATTCAGATAATTAGGATCTAGGATTCACTCATTAAGGGTTAGGGTATATTATCCGACCCAAAAATCCTGCTAATTCGAGGTCTAGATAGCTTTTTCATACTCAAGGTATGCGGTACCCCAGATCTCACCCAGTGTACCCTAGAAGCCGCCCAATATCAAGGTATACTATACTTTTGATTTTACTCAAGATACGATAGAAGATAGGTATGACGAAGTATGCCCATAAATTAGAGGTTAGAGAATTAGGGACTGGAGTTCACCTATTAGAGGTTAGAGTATAGTATCATGCCCCAAAAACTCTGGTTAATTCACGGTCTAAATAGTATAATTCAATGGTCGTATGATAGTGTGAACGCAAGAGTATAGCATACTCCTGCCGCACGCTAGCTTGAACTATATATGTGTGTGTGGGGGGGGGGGGGGGGGGAGGGGTTCAGGTTGGCGTACGCTAAACATTAGTGTTTTGGTTGATAAATTTTGACATAAGTTCTAAATGGGACGTGATAGTGACATCATTTATGATTAGAAAATTGAAGCATCACAAGTGAGTGTGCTAAATATTGGAAATTTTCAATATAGACATACTACAAACTCTGTTATGAATCAAGAACACAAAATATTTGGGAAATCCAAAATAATTTAAACATAAAAATAAATTAATTAATATAAATTATAAAATAAATCTCTCCGGCCAACGAGCCGGTAAAAAACTAGTCAAGATTATACACATAATCTGCTCCCCTTATATTCTGAATACTAGAAACAAAATAACACAATTTTTATGTCCCTCCTTCATTACTTGGATATCTTAAGATAAATATGTAATTCATAATTAATTCGTAAACGAAAAGCTCAATATGCATTCTACATATCACTTTGAGTGCAGTCTAGTAAAATTGATTGTTTTGATATTACTTTTCTAGTTCATAACGCTACAATAAATTACATTAATGTTTCACACACCAACTACTTAATAAGATAGTATACCAAACTAACAAAATTATAACTTGCCCACGCCACAATGGCATGAGCACCAAGCTAGTAGTTATAAAGTATCAACACAAAAGATATATAATTAACCAGAAAAATTCTATAAAAAAAAAGAATCAAGGGTCACAACTTGATTATAATAAATTTTAAAAAATAATAATTCATTGAACAAGCAACATAAGGCCAAATGAATGATTCCCTATTCTGCAGTCTTTCAAAACTATTCCCTCTTCCAATCGAAGTCCGTGCCTTTTCTTTTCAACATCATACAATCATTCCAAAGGCTATATCAATTTGATCATCAGGCTCTAAAGAAAGGGTAAGTCTCAAATCTAACACTGCAACTCCCACTTACAACTCTTCCACCAACTTTCCCATTACTAAACCTCGGAAGCTCTCCAACCAACCCATCAGCACACCTCCTGCAATCCCTCCCAGAAAGATCCCTGCCACACTGAACCAACCCATAAATCCTGACCGAACCGGGAATCTCGACCTGTCCAGCAGCGTAAAACCGGGCAGGATCCCCTGCCGCTTCCCCAGCCAGATTCACCATCAAACGCTGCCTAATCCCATCAAACCCTGGAGCAATATCCCCACTAGCATTCTTACCGTTCACCATGTGAAACTTGTTCCTCACGTCAACTCTGCCGAAAAACCTGACGCTTGAGTACTTGAGGTAGCAGTTGTCTAGCCATATGATTGCTTCTTTGCTATAAGGACATGTCTTGTGGACCGTGGTGATTGCTTCGACTATGCAGGCTTGGCAGTGTGATGGTGTCGAATCGCCTCTGCAGTTCGCTAGCCCGTAAGTTGTCTGGTCGGGGGATGATTGTTGCTGTCCTGTGATTGTTGCATTTGTGAAACCTGTAGGAGGTGTTTGGTAATAGAGCTGTCCCATTAGCTGTCTCAGGTTTCTCTCGTAGGTGCTGTTTCGGGTGAAGGTGGCGTTTGGGGTTTGTGAACAGATATGCATCAGTGGTTTGGCTGCTGCTGATGTGATTATGATTGTGGATTGCAGAAGGAGAATGAGTGTTAGGAAAGGGAGTGACATGGTTTTGTTGTGGGGGAAAGAGGAGAGAACTTTTGGTCTTTGGAACTGAAATTGAGAGATGGGTTTTTGGAGATTTGTGGGTTGATAATGGATTTATATTGTTTAAGGCTGGGAAGAAGGTGACATTTGGCTGGTGGTCAGCTTGGAAGTGTTCAAGTTGGCTCTTAGGAAGTTGTCAAATGGAGGGTTACAGAATGCAGACTTATTTGTTAATGTGGTTTGGTAATTGTATGACCTTGTTTTTATTGTCTGAAGAATCTCCACTCGTTTAAGCTAACATCAGCATCAGATAAAGTAATACAACTAATCTAAAGACGGATAGAATAACCCTTCAAAAATTGAAACTTTAGTTTAATGTATTGCAATGGATTAGTTAAAGCAAGAAAGTCAATTTGATGCATAATTTCTCATTTTGATGATCGGACTGCGTCTATGTCAGAGATTAGTTTATTACTGGATTGACTGGTTCTTTTCTCTTTGCCCCACAGTACATGCACCTAATGAAGTTTCCCATTTTCCTGATAATCTAATGTGTTCGGTAAATTGCTTGTTGCTCAAGAAAAGTCAGGAACTATGGAGGGATTCCAAAAGGCTATGGCAAAAAACTATAATAAAAACAACCATCAGCCAGTTCTGTGTACAAAGCTCCACTGGTAACTCAGACAACAAAAGTTAAGTGATGACTGATGATCATTCAAAAAGATGAACAATTTAACATGATCAGAAACTCAAAAGAAACAAAAAAAAAAAAAAAAACTTCTCAACGAGGATGTAAATCTGTGATGGAGACATCATTTATGGACAGCTGCAATGACTCTGATTTGGAGTTGACAAGTTCAGAACCAGCAGTACATTTATCTCCATCATCATTATCTGCTTCAAAGCTTCCTCTATTGATGAAGAATGCCGGCTGCAAAGGCGTTGGATAGGTCACAGTATGGCTGCTGAGCATCATGATGACTTCCAACATTGTTGGTCTGTCAGCAGCAGATTCCTGAACGCACAGAAGACCTATGTGGATGCACTTCAAGACCTCGGTGTTTGCCCATCGATTCCCCATCGCCGGATCCCTCAACTGTAGAGCCATCCCATTGTTCCAGTGATCCCATACCTGTGTTCACAACTGAACCAAACTTGAAAAACCAGACTTTCATGACTTGTTACTACAAAAGGGTTACATTTCGTTTAATCAAAACAAGTCACTGTACTAGGTCGCTTGTCCATTAATAGTCCCATCTTAAAAATTTCAACCAAAATCTTTAACAAGTGAGGTTGATCCATGGTCACTGACCACATCACTAATGTCTGCATTCACCATTTGGGCATAATTAAGTTGGATTGAGGAGCAAATACAGATTTTCAGTATACATGGCACATGAGTTTTCAGCAAACTGCACACTGTTTACTAAGCATGGATCGACTTTACTAGTAATGGATTTGGGAAAAAAATACACACTAAAGCGATCAGAAACGAGTAAACAGCATAAAACAATGACCAGTTTGTTAAAAAAAAACATAATATAAGGACTGAAAATGTCATAAACCAACTACAAAATACGAAATAGTCTTGTGAGATGCATACATGACTTTGAAGGTTGACAGAGTTCCGATTCCTGACATTCCTTCTGCCTGTTACAATCTCCAGTAGCAGAATACCAAAGCTGTAGACATCAGACTTCTCTGAAAAGCAACCATTTCTAGCATACTCAGGAGCCATGTAGCCACTTCAAACCATGAACAACAGATTTAGTGTTTTATGTTCAAGCCTTCCATAGAGGGGAAAAAATAAATAAAAAAGAACCACAGGCGCCAAATTTATGGTTCTATTTGTAACATGACTTACGAAGTTCCCGAAATCCGATCTGTATTGCCTTTAGTTTCACTTCCTAGGAAAATCCTGGCCAACCCGAAATCCGAAATCTTAGGGTTCATGGACTCATCTAATAGGATGTTGCTGGCTTTTAAATCTAGGTGGATGATCCTGAGCTGTGAATCTTCATGCAAGTACAGCAGTCCTCGAGCAATCCCGATTATGATTCTGTACCTTGTTCCCCAGTCCAGGTCAAATCTTCTATTGGGATCTAACTTGTCAAGAAAACAAAAACCCAACACTCAGTTCTATCCCACCAGGAAGCTGGTGAGGAAAAAAACCACCAAATGATATGAGAATACCATATAAAATCTTGTCAAGGCTGCCATTAGGTAGGTACTCATACACTAGCATCTTCTCTTCTTCTTCTAAGTAGAATCCTAACAACCTTACAAGGTTCATGTGCAGAAGTTTTGCCACCAACATTAATTCTGTTTTAAGCTCTTCCAGGCCTTGTCTAGAGCTTGTTGACAGCCTTTTGACAGCGATTTCTTGTCCATCAAGCAACTTCCCCTGGCGGTATGAGTGAACATAAATGAGAACCAGGAGTATCCTGGTAAATACCTCCGAGGATCCAATGTTATACTGGATAGAAGGTACCTTGTAAACGGGTCCAAAACCGCCTTCTCCTAGTTTGTTTGATGAAGAAAATTCCATTGTTGCTGCTGTCAGCACATTGAGGCTAACCAAAAGTGATGCAGCTCTTTCATCACCAACTATTGCAGAACCATCTGTATGAATAATTTCAATACAAGGATAAAAATAACTGATATTGGTTTAAATCTCTGGTATGCGAAAGGTTGAAAAGTTACCGAGATTTCTGCTCGAAGCCCGGACTCGAAAGAAGTAATAAACAGTAGCGCAAACAACTACTATCACTACCACAGAAGCTAGTACAGGTATAACCACCAAAGTAACAATGGTCTTCACTTTCTTGCCTGCATAACAAAACATGACAAAGAAAAAACTTCTAGCAATCGACCTCCAATCATCATATTCTGTCAAGAAGAAGCAAGAGGATTTTACCATAATCCTTGGAGGAATTGCTTCCACTAGATGTAGGGTTCGTTTGCAGCCATGGAGGTGCAGAAGAGGCAGCAGCTGGTGGTAGTAGCGACTGAAAGAAGGAATATCTTTCAAACCGGATATTGCAACTCAAAGCAAATATCCTCCCACCTGTTCTGTTAGCCATAAACCTCGGAATATCGTTAATCATAGCTTGCAGACAGTTGTAGCAATCGGGTCCAGACAAGTCAACTGTACACTGAACCATACCATGTACGTACTGGGAGTCTCCATATCTATCACTGCCAAAAGCCAGCCTTGAAGGATCAACAGCAGCAGTTGATGAAAGATTCTTAAACAATTCCCCCAATTGACTACTGAGTGCAACTGGGTCCGCTGCATTCTCATCGCCAATTAAACCCACTCTGGGGACAATATCAGCAAACGTGAAGAATTCCCAATCAGCATACTGCAATGTGCAGTCCCCATTCAATATGGAAGCTTCCTTCTGGTGAGGACACCTCTGTGTGATTTCAGCAGCTAATGCCTCTGCACAATATTGGCATGCTTCTGCAGAGGTATAACCTCTGCACTGTACGAGCCCATAAACAATGTCTGGACTATGGCCTGTGGTGGCTGTGAAGTAGCCAGTTCGAGAGGCGTTCGCAGCTAATGAAGCGAGGGTGAGGTTGAGATTTCGGTTGTAAGGGCTACCTGAAGTGTAGTTCATGTTGAGTTCGCAGCTGAAATGTTTTGCTCTCGTAACATGAAGAAGACATGAAACGCTCAAGAACAAGTGAGCGGCAAGAAAATATGATTCATATAGCTTCCTCATAATATTCACCAACTCTATCTGAGGGGTTTTCGAAGCAAATGAGTCATTAGTCAGTCTCTGCAGAACAAGATATAAGGGATACATTTAACAAATACATTGTTTTCCAACTCAAATCAGTTTCCTTTTGGTCAAAGAAGAAGAGAGAATGACCACCTGTCTTTATCAGACTCTGGTTTCTTTACGTATTTGATGTGCAGGCCAGCATAAAAGCCAATTACCACCTATCAGGAACCTGCTCCTATGCGAATATTATTAAGGTAAGCAACAGAAACACATTGGTGGCAAGATTCTTCAGTTTTGAATAAGACGAGCAAATTTCATGGAAAGACAAACATAATAAGGTCAATGTCATGCAGGCCTGTATGAAAGCAATGAGAAATAATCAACCTTGGTAGGTCATAAAGAATCTTCAAACCACCTCAATTTCAGTGCGGGGAACTCTTAAGAATCTTCAACTGACTTCTGCTCTCATTGGTCAAGTGATTATTTGGGTATCACTCATGAGCTATGTGATCATAGAAAGTGAACTTTGAGACAGATGTGAAACAAAAGGCTGAAGCATGAAGGTACACTAGATCCATGGACTAATCATAATACGGTTCTTTAATCTTCCCCATTTAACAAGAATCTATGTTTTGTACGACCAGTAAATGGTACAAATTAATTCCGGAGATAATTTAGCTTTGCTATGTTAATCCAGTTAGTGTTCTTCCCATTCAAAGGGTACTAAAGGGTTGATCTGTGTTTTCTTGGATAGATACTGTCATGTTATAAGAATCTTCCTTTACCAAATCTGGAGAAGCTCTGTGCCGAGTGAATGAAAACCCAGTTCGTAAAGGAGTTCCACCAAGCTTACTGTAGCAGCCAAGCTTCAATATGACATCAGAAATAGTTGGTCTCTTCTCAGCAGCTTCTTGAACACACAACAGTCCAATGTTGATGCACTTCAGAACCTCGTCTTTTTCAAATTCTTCGCCCAAGGTTGAGTCCACTATCTTCAAAGCTGTTCCATTGATCCAATGCTTCCATGCCTTCCAAAGAAGTTCAAGTATCAAGGTCAATCATCCAATTGCCATAAAGAAGAAACAAAAAATGTCAATGAGAGGCCTATTTAGCCTACATTATTACTTACATAACTTTGAAGATTCCTGGAGTCTTGGAAACTGGAGTTTTTCATACCTATTATGATCTCCAGTACCAGAATTCCAAAGCTATAGACATCCGATTTAGCCGAGTATCGCCCTCTTACTGCATACTCAGGTGCCATGTAGCCAGAAAAAGCAAACACTTCATGGAAACATTCTGAAGACAAGTCAAGCAATCACTTTCTGAAATGCCTTTAGAGCATTGCAACAGAGCATAGATATTCTGAATTTTGGTATGTCCAGAATTCCCAGAAGCTATCCTGGAAAGACTCTCTGCAGCACGAGGTCACAGTGACTTGAGCAAAGCTTCCAAGTTGGTCCCGAGAAGAACAGGATTGGGTGCATTCACATTGTTCCATATGATGAAACGTGGGGTGCTATCCAGATCTGAGAAAAAACTCCTGTCGGAGTACTGCAATGTACACTTCTTATTGTATATAGAGCCTTGCTTCTGGTTAGGGCACAGTTGGGTGATCTGAGTGGCCATGTTTGTTGCACAAGCTTGGCAGGCGTTCCTGGGAGTATAACCGGTACACTGTATGAGACCGTAGACTTGATCTTGGCCCGAGCCAATGGAAGCAGTGGAGTAGTCATCAACAGGGGCATTAGAAGCTTGGAATTGAAGGTCAGGTTCAGGTTCAGCTGATATGGACTTCCAGAAGTGTAGTTCCTGCCATTCTGACAAGTGAAGTAAACAGCTTGGACATGTTGGGAAAAATGATGAACCCATGAAAGTAAGAGGAGGAAGACCAGCAGATGCATAGTTAGATTGGTCAACAGCCTCTAACATTGCTTATGACTATCCGCAATTCTATTATGGGTTTCTTGTTATAGTTTCCTAAAGTGCTCATTTAGGTCCAAACACAAAACTCCGAAGTAAAGGTGCAATCTGCAGGCCCGCCAACCGCCAGCTGATGCAAAAAACTTGTACTAATGTTTTTTTTATATATCGTTTGATGAATGCCAGAAACTGTATTAGTTAGAAGTAAACACACCAAAGGAGGATAAAAGACAAGATGAGATCAATGTGATGCTTGCCGGCCAATGATAAAAGGAACAATGAAAGAGAGGACAAATTGATCAATTTCTTAAGTTACAAAGATGGAATTGAAACTAATTACATAAAGTAAAGAAGGGTGTATACAAGAAGACAAATTGACAGGCTTGCAGCATGTTAGAGTCCATACGCAAGACAGTCATTAAGTTTCACCCTGTGGCTCTTCAGTTTGGCATGATAATGAATGGACAAATAATAAACAAACTGAAAAAAATAGTCAAGGTAACTTCATAACCGGGCATATGTTTCAGTTACTCTCAGATTGTTTATCGCTTTGATCTGATTGAGAGGTTATAGGTTCTTCCACTACTGAACCAGACCTACTATCTCGATTGCTTATGTAAAATGCTGGCTTTGGTGGCGATGAAAAGTTGGATGTTTTGCTGCTAAGCATCAGAACAATGGATGACATTTCAGGCCTCTTGGAAGCAGATTTCTGGACACATAACAACCGATGTGGATGCACTTCAGAGCTTCATGTTTAAGATACATGCGGACCAAGGTTCGATCCAGCAAGTTCAAGGCTTTCCCATCTAACCAATGTTCCCATGCCTCGGAATTCATTAAAATCAATGCAAGTATAAAACTCACGTAGAAAAAATGGAAAGATAGTCACATTATACGTACATCGCTCTAAAGATTAGAGTAGTTGCGAGCAGTAGTGATTCTTTCACCAGAAATGATATCCGAGAATCAGATACAGTAGAGAACTGACCATTCTTGACATACTCTGGGGACATATACCCGCTTTGATCATTAACAAAAGAAAAGGATGAGACTGAGTTTTAAATATGTTGACTCAGTGACTAGAAAGCATTTTTGTTTCTTTACCAAGTGCCCGCAACCTTTTCTGTGCTGATGTGAGTCTGAGTTGCTGAAAAGAGTCTTGCAGTCCCAAAATCTGCAATTTTAGGGTTCATAGACTCATCCTCCGGACTTGCAAACTTCATCGGAGGCATGAACTGGAGAACATTGTGGTTACAAAGCGGATCATATTGTGGTGCATCATCGAAGATGTCCCCACCTTCCGAGTCAGAAAGATTGGCTCTCAAGAAACGTGCCAACGAGCAGAAATATCTTCATATGATGTAGTCATTCACATTGCTTAATGCAGAAAAGAAACGGAAAATTGTTGTTACCATCAGTCTTCATCAAACCAATTGTTACTCGCCTCTTTTTCTTCCTTTCAAAAACAAAGGCCGAATTGGATTAAACCAGAGCAGAAACCAATCCAAACCAAACGGAGATATTTCTGCAATATTTTCCAGTCTTGATTGAGTTCCATCTCAACAAGTAAAATCGTTGGGATTGAACTAACCAGTTCAATCTCTTCTTAATTTCATATTCGATCCGATTCAAAATTGGTATGCTCAGCTCAGGTGCGGACCGTTGGACACCCCTGTCCACAGCCAGCTAAATCGAAAATCAAATCAACCAAAAGACTCAAATCTTTGCAGACGTATTAGCAGACCAGGAAGAAATACCAGAAACACATGGCAAGAAAGTTTGTTGCTTTGTTGACTACTCATTGGATGAAAATTTATCATCCATATTCTGTGTCCGTATAAGAGTACATTTTCCTATGGTTTCTTCTTCATTATTCTTAAAAAAATTATCTTTAATCTCTATTTGCTCGCACAACAATCAAAAGTGGATTCTTTTCCACAAAGAAAAAGTCAAATAAGCCTCTGTATTCCCTCTTGATTTACTCCAAAAAAGTTGGGGCATTCATTTCCACTGCCTCTGCAAAACAGCTACAAGATCCCGAACCCTTGTCTGGATTTTCATCTCTCAAGCTCCATTCAACCATATGAATCTTGCAATGGCAACCAAGTATATATGTCTCGCAGCAAGACAAGTTTACCTATTTCATGTGAATCAGTTCATCTTCTCCACATTCCCTAATCGCAATCTCCATCACTTTGTTCCCAGAAGAAGGCAAAACTTCACAGCACTGGCGCCTTGGAGCCCGCAGCTGAATCAAATCGAATAAAATCAGTGATCAATAATCTTAATAGGTCAAAGAAATAATCAATCAGCAGCATCTACCATACCTGTTTGTCGCTGAGGTCAAGCTTATGTGAGACCACCTTAATCTCTTCAAGCCTTCTAGGTGAACCCATATCTTGCGAGCAATTTACAAACATCTTCTTGTAATGACTGGTCACCAACTGTTGATTATCACTCCCCTCCGAAGAAGCACGATCAAGAAAGAAAACTGTGGCTCTTCTGCATGGATCCGGGTGAGGCCGTCTGGTGTTGAAAACGTAAGTTGCAGCTAGAACGTCACCTTTGCTCCATTGCCTGAAAGTGGTTTGAACGGGAAGTACGTCCGGGAGAAGCATGTGATTGCCGTAGACCTCGACTGCGTAGCCCCATGAAATGGAAATGGTCCACGAGAACCAGCGATCATAGCACACGGTCTTCTGCAGAACCCTCTGGGAATCGATCTTTGCTGCTTCTAGTAAATGATTTACAGAATCCTGGGTTGTCATGTTAGGGAAGATCGCGTCGATGTGATCCATGTGATGGAGGGATACCAATGGTGTCGTTGGATGTGATGTCAGTATACCGAACATATTGCCATGGAAATCCAGCTGGAAAAGAAGCAAATCGTCAGTATGGAAACCGGCCTCTATTAAGATACCAGGGTGGTGATATATCACCAAAATATGCTTGCCATACATACCTGATGGAAACCGGGCTCTCGAGTTAACGTCACTCCAAGCTCGGCCAAGCAAGAAGAGATCCTGGAATCACTTCCATAAAGATGAGGGTACCTTTCGATACAAGAATCAAAAACCTTGGCAAGAACTTTAGCCAGCGGATAGCTAATAGCAAATCCTGCTCCACCATAGGCCATGTCAAACCCAAACAACCTATTCTGCTCGTAGATCTCCGAGTTCGACCCTATATAGTACCAAAGCCCGTGATCGTACTTCGATAATGTCTTCGCCAAGTTCTCCGGGAAGAAAACAGTGTCGTCGTCACCAAACACAAACCACCTGACGTCAGAATGATTCAGCGCCACCGTCTCGGAAACCACACGCGCCACCCGAATCGCCGACCTCAGACCGTTTTTGAAGGTGTAACGAAACCTGGAGGTGTCCTGAGAGATGCAGATTGGAGGGAGTGTGGAGTTGTCATTGCCAGAGGTGACATTGAAGTCATCAGGTGGCGCCTCGAGGAACACGCAGCCCCTCATCCCCATCTGATGCTGCTGGTGTGGCCGCTTCCACCAGAGCTTGACGTACTCCTTCCGCTTCTGCCATGATTTCTTGTTGGAAGCAATCCCGAACACAATGTGCTCGAGAGTCGTCGGTGAGTGCTGTGAAGCTGAACTTTCCCAGGAAGTTACGCCCGTGAGCTTGGATGAAGCGACGAGGAAGAGCAAGACCAGAAGGTAAAGGGTGAGGATGGATGATGAGAAGACGATGAACCTGATGAAACGAGTAGAAGAAGAGTTTGGTTTAGAAGTTGAATGAAGAAGCTGCATTCTTTCCAACTGTGGAAGTTCTCTGCAGTCTCTGTCAGGAGTGAAGGTTTTGACTTTGAATTTGATTTTGATTTTGGATTTATAGGTTCAATCAGGCTCATATATCACAGGCGCAACTGAAGGTGGAAAAAGAAGCGAGTTGGCATCTTTTCTAAGCATTTAAGGAAATGGGTGGAGTTAGGCCTTACAAAAGGGAGGAAAAGTCAACTGTTTCATCCCAATCTAAAGAGAAAGCGAACTCTGCTGCTTTTACAATCCAAGCAACCCCCCTTGCAGTTGGTTTTGGATTCATGTGGGAATTAAGGTGAATAGGTTGATCGAATTTTCAACAATCTCTCAATCAAATTTTCAGCAATCTCTAGTCCAAGAAAACATGGTTTCTTTCAATGAACTTAAACTGCCAAAAACTTGTTCCCTACACATACACACTATTATTAGGGACGGCATATGAAGGGAAAAAGAAACCCAGTAAAGTCACCAGGATGGTTCATGTTACCATTTCTTCAACAGGATAACCAAACTGCAGGCCTTCTTTTTTGTGCAACTTCTGAGTTCCGACGAAACCGCAATTGAAGGTGAAAAGGGGCTTTCACCTTGTTTGTTCCTTTCAACTGTGATGAGAGAGGAATCATCACATCAAACCAATGGTTGATTGACTTAACAAAAAGTTGCACAAGTTCTGCAGCGTACAACTCAATAAAGAACAGATGCATCGTATGAACATGTGCAGCTTGTTTTGCAGTTCAATTGAAACATGTTAAGAAATTTTTTCTTTTGAACAGATCCAAAGCAAAGGGGTTCATCAGCCTGGTTTGAGTCAAACTAGTTAGTAGTTACTGCATGTTTACTCCTCGCAATACTAAAAAATGAGAACCATCTGTCAGCAGCCCAAACTCCCAAAAAAAAAGAGGAGGGGTATAGTTAGCTTCGATTCATAGAATTTGGTTACCGATATTGAAAGCGAAGTTAAGGATCCAGATCCCTTTTAAAGACAAGCGATCTACTATTCCTTACAAAGAGAACAACACCTTCCACTTTCCTAACCTTTTAAGGATTCAGCTCTCTGGATGTGAAAACTCCTTTGACTTCGAAGAATCTGGAAACAGAAACAGCACTTACTCCAGAAATCAAAACCTACATGAGAACACAATGTTCGTATCTAATAATCTATAATTTCTTACAAGTCGACAGACAGACAGAGAGAGAGAGAGAGAGAGATTCAGAACACACTGTATGCTGCTGTCACAACAATACATAACTGAAAGACAGAGCTGAGTAGAAGAATACCACAGGTGAGTCGTTCGTATCATCTTTCCAGCTTGGTGTTGGTCGATATGATGTGGCATTCCTTTCGATCTCTATCTACAAACCCAGATCATAAGACAGATTCCCTTGAAGCAAGCTATTCACATCGAAGCAAGTTTAGGGGGGTCTCTACTTCAGAGCTTGACCCAAGTAAACTAGTCCGCACAGATTCGGTAGAAGTCTGTTTTGACGCATCAAGGCCAATCCTCAAATTCCTCAGCAGTCGGGTCGAACCGAGCAACAGAATTCTTGCAGTTTTCTATTTCCTGAAAGAAGATAAGAGAATGACATTAATTAAATGAAGCTGTCACATAATTATCAAATGACACAGAGCTTATAAGCGAAGAATAATTACCAACGATTTAACACTGGACTGCTACTGATTCAAGCTCCAAACTACTTTCACTATAAACATGTATACATATTCCACAATCACTAGAGATGCATGGCAATCAGTTCATTATTTCCGCACTGCCTGATTGTAATAACCATGGATTTCTCAGATGAGGAAGAAGCATCACAACACTGCCGACGTGGAGCCCAAATCTGCAGGTAAAGAAGCAGTCAGCACAGCTGAAACCAAATTTTAAGTTGACGGTCGAAAGAATACCACATCAACTCATCCTTATACCTGTTCAGAATCAAGCGTCAATCTATCCGATGATACCTTGATGTACTCGAGATTATTTATGGCTCTAGAAGCCCTAGGGCAATCCTCAACATTGTGCCTAGTGTAACTGCTCCAAATCCCGTCTTCACCAGACTTAACATTTTTCATAAAGAAGACAGCAGGCCTTTTGCATGGATCTTTAGGATAGGGTCTCATGGTGAACATGTAATAGCCAGCAAGTGGGTTTCGATGTCTTCTCCACGGCGAAAAGGTCTGCTGCAGCGCGAGGAGATCAGGAAGACGCTCATTCCCTTCAAACACCTGAATCGAATAGCCCCACGCTATTGAAACAGTGAAGGAGTTTGTGTGGTCATAACAAACTACTTGCTGCAGGATCCTAGTTGGGTCAGTATGCACAGCCTGGAAAAGATGTTCCATAGCCTGAGTTTGGTTCATGGTGGGAAAAACAGGGGTTGAAGCTTCCAGATGATGAAGAGATATCAATGGCGACAATGGATGAGCTGAAAGCAAGCCGAATAAACTCCCACGCAAATCAACCTGACACCATAGAACTAAATAAATAAACTTTCTTCCATGATGATGGATATTGGCTAAAACTCATTATTCTTCCCCAGCCAAGAGTTGCATTCTCAATGTCCTGATACATTTCGAATTGAAAAATTGATGGGAAGACTTTGAAGCTTGAGATTCACCTGGTGGAAGCCAGGCTCGTGAGTCAGCCCAACACCCAACTCGGCCAAGCAAGAGAAGATCCTGGCATCGCTGCCGTACAAATGGGAGTAACGCACCAAGCAAGAGTCCAAAACCCTAGCCAAAACCCCAGCCAAAGGGGAACTGATTGCAAAACCGCCACCGCCGAAGCCCATATCGAATGAATGCTTCACGTTCTGCTCGTAGCTCTCGGAATTGCTCCCTATGTAGAACCACCGCGTGTGATCGTACTTCGACAGCGTCTTAATCAAATTATCGACGAAGAAAACCGTATCGTCGTCGCCGAAGACGAACCACCGCACGCCGGTTTGATTGAGCTCCACGGCTTCCTTCACAACCCGCGCAACTCTGATTGCAGATCGCAGCCCGCCTTTGAAGGTGTAAGGGAATCGAGATGTGTCCTCGGAGATTATTACCGGAGGGAGATCGGAGGGGAGATCGGCTGGGACGGCGTCCAGAAAGGCGAAAGCACGGGTGGCGTTGGGCTCGTACCAGAGGCTGATGTAAGGTTTCCGGCGGAGGAAGGCGCCGTAGGATGAGGCTATGGAGAAGAGGATGTGGCTGCGAGTGGTGGGGGCGGAAGACGTAGTGAGATCGGCGCGATCTGACGGCGGAGCTCGCGGCAGAGGGTTGCGGAAGGTGAGGTAGACTACGGCGAGGAGGGAGAAGAGGAGGAGGAGGTCTTTCAGGCGGGAAGGTGTAAGAGTGAAGTTTCTGATCGGGGGCATTCTTCTGGGAGTCGGAACGGGACACTCGCCGGCGGCAGTGGACGTGGTCGGGGGAAAATGGGCTCCGGAGTCGGGAAGAAGAGACTGATGCGTGCGTCTCTTCCCGGGCGTCATTATTTCTTCCAACTGTCCGCCGCGAAAACAAAATGGTTATTGGGTTAAGAGGCTAGGATGGATCTTGAATCGTTCGTCTTTGGGCTTTCGGCCCATAATGATGTAAAATTGTTTGGACCCTATACTTTGCAGGCACACTATTGTAGAAGGGCCAATACTATGGTGCCACACTTTTTATTTAATTTCTGATTGGGCCACGTGGCCTGACTTGTTTATTTAATTTGAGCCCAAAGCCTACTGACCTATTGGAATTGGCCAGAACCGAAGCCGTACCCAAACGGACGGATTCTTTCCGTTAAATTTTTTCCCAGCGTTTTTCCCCATATTATTTTGTTCAGTTTTATTTGTTTTTTTCCTCCAGAAACCAAGGAAACGGAACGAAGGGAAAGTCGAGCAGTTTGGCGCCGATCTCCTTCTCTCGGTCGAAACTGCTCCGGCGAGAATCAAAACAGCTCCGGCGAACTCCACCCACTCCGATCGGAACTTCATCTCCTCCAATAAACTCCTTCGCTGTATTCCTCCTCCGCCATTCATTCTGTGAAACAAAAACTGACGAATCCCTAGTACGGGGACGCTTTCTGTCTGCGTCGAACTGCTCCGCCGACACCGACAAGACTGCGTCGAACTGCTCCTGACTATACCTTACCTTACAAGAGCAGGAATCCAACTGAAATTACCGAGGCTGCAAAGAGATTCTCGTGGCAGAGGTTAGTCCTGGCCGACAGATGAGCGGGTGAGGGAAGTTTTGATAAAAAATAGAGAGGACTGACTATGCAGGGGTCGGGTTCGCTGCAATCGATCTTCCTTCTTATTATCCAATTCGCGCGCTGGGGAAAGGAACCGCCGTGGATAGGGGTGTACATGGGTCGGGTGGTCCGGGTTTAGGCATTTTAATCACCCGACCCATGCACTACAGTTTGGGAAATATTAAACTCAAACCCACCCAAAAAAATCTAAACACTACGGTTTGTTTCTAATTGGTTTGGGTCGGGTTGGCGATATTTTTAAGTAAAAACCCAACCCAACACAAAATATGTAATTATTCTACATCATAAAAATATTTTATAACAAATTAAAAATTCAAACGAATAAACCGAGGTGAAAGGTATCAAAATTCACAAATATTGTTTGAATTTTAATAAAACTTGATTTACTTCAACTTATGTCTAGTTTTTTTCACGACATTTGTTGAAATAGGCTAAAAAGGTTACAAATGAACGCATCCATAATATGATATTCTTTTAAAATTGTACACAAGAAAAAAAATTACGTGAATCATAGCTATATTAAATATATGTCTAAACTTTAAGTCGAAGAATGCATTAGATTAGTGAGACTTTAAGAGAAAAACATGGCGAAATATCTTAATTTTCTCATAAGTATGACTATATACGACATAAATATTTTTTTGGATACGAACTCATACCAATAATTGAAACACGGGTTGGGTCGGGTTCTACGGGTTGTGTAATAAAAAATCCAAACCCAACCCAAAAGAGGCGGGTTGTACAAAAGAAAACCCTCACCCAACCCAAAACCTTCGATTTAGCGATAAATACGGGTGGGTTGGGTCGGGTTGGACGGGTGGGTCGGGTTGCGGGTGTGTTTGTTCACCCCTAGCCGTGGAGAGGGTTTGTGCAGCGCCAGGGGAAGGAAAAGGGAATTTAGGGAAAACTCTCGGGGGTTTTGATTTGCAGACCTGGACTAGTCTTGTCGGTGTCGGCGGAGCAGTTCGACGCAGACAGAAGGCGTCCCCGTACTAGGGATTCGTCAGTTTTTGTTTCACAGAATGAATGGCGGAGGAGGAATACGGTGAAGGAGTTTATTGGAGGAGATGGAGTTCCAATCGGAGTGGGTGGAGTTCGCCGGAGTTGTTTTGATTCTCGTCGGAGCAGTTTCGACCGAGAGAAGGAGATCGACGCCAAATTGCTCGACTTTCCCTTCATTGCGTTTCCTTGGTTTCTGGAGAAAAAGAAACAAATAAAACTGAACAAAATAATATGGGGAAAACGTTGGGGGAAAAATTAACGGAAGGAATCCGTCCGTTTGGGTACGGCTTCGGTTCGGGTCAATTCCAATAGGTCAGTAGGCTTTGGGCTCAAATTAAATAAACCAGTCAGCACCACGTGGCCCAATCAGAAACTGCGTCACCGGTGCCGCACTTTTTAGTGCGGCACTGTAGTATCGGCCTTGTAGAAGAGAATCACCCAAATCAAAACACTTCGATTTTGGTTGGATGGTTTACCAACGAACGACAAAATGGATGTTTAATTCGAGCGATCATTAATTTCTCTTTATATTAAAAATTATAAATTAACCATCTAAATGAAGTCGCAGTACTAATTAATTTAAAGTTAATCTAATTTAATAGTGATATATTAGTAATAGGTGCATAAAAATTTATGATTTGTTTGAATTACGAATTTATCATTCAATTGGCGTTACACTTTAGAATTACTGTGAATGTGTTGTAATTCTCTATCAATTATTAATAACAAAATGCGATTTTTACTTGAAAATATACACTATAAATTTTCAAAATGGGCACACGGTATACGTTGGGGTTTAACGCCTTTGTCAAAGTGATAGTTCTCAATCATGTGTCAAGTGTCTTGACTTTCAAATAACAAATAATTTTATCGGGTGATGAAACATCTTTGTTAAGAAATTATATTCAAGCATCATAGGTTACTGTACAATGTATATATTATCAAGAGGGGATATATTAGGTGTTGAGGCACATGGGTCTACCAAGGATATAAGTCTATATAAATGAAATATCAAGAGTGGATATATTAGGTGTTTTTTCCCTAAATTTTACATGATAAGCCCATGATAAACATGCCACCTACCAATAACCATCAATTGAATTTCTTAATTTAGAAATATCAAGAGTAGAAACATGCCCATGATAAACATGCCACCTACCAATAACGTAACGGAAATACCCTTCCGTTAGAAAATTTGTTTTCTCACTGTTAAATAGGGTCGAAAATTACCCAACTACCCCTGATTATTAACAAAATTCCACCCATCCCTCCCCCATTAGATTCTTCCACGGTCAAAGAAAATCTACCCGATTCTTCCACTTTCAAACAAAACTCATCCTCTCTTCTATTTCATTCTTCCCGTCAACGAAGTTGCAGCCGACAGCGGGAGCATAATCCCTGAACCAGCGGGAGCATCCCAGAATCCTTCTCCCTCCGGCGGAACAAAGACAAACCCTCTCTTCTTTCTCCGCCTGAACCGAGACCGAGTCAAACCAGTTTCTGTTGGAAATGTCAAAACCGCGAGTACACGGAGGAGCTGTTTTATCCTGGAGACGACCAGTTGATAGTCTGTCGTGCGCGTCGAGGGCAGTGCCGCGAACGTCTTAAAGAGAGCGACCTAGTCCGCGACTCAGCTCCAGATTCGGTAACCTCGTTCTTGTTGTTGTTCCGTTCCTAACAATTTTAAGACGTTCGGCTGCTGCTATGTCGACGGAACAGAACAACATGGCTGGATCTGGTGCTGTCGATATCAATCGACCATTTCGCTTCGTTGGGGTCAACTTCCATCGCTGGAGACAAAAGATGGAGTTCTACCTGACGACCAAGAAGTTGACACACTGCCTCACCAGCATGCCCGTCGAGCTGCCGGAAGAAGCGACCGATGAGGAGAGGGCTGCTTCTGCTAAGGAAAGGGAGCATGACTTCCTATGCAAGAACTACATCCTCAACGGCCTGGCAGACAATCTCTACGACTATTATGCGGACAGCAAGAACACCGCTGTGATGATCTGGGATGCGCTCCAAAAGAAGTACGACACGGAGGAGGCTGGAGCTAAGAAGTATGTTGTCAGCCGCTACCTGCACTACCAGATGGTGGATGACAAGTCTGTCGAAGTTCAGTCCCACGAACTTCAGAAAATAGCTCATGAGATCGTCTCTGAAGGTATGCCTCTGGACGATCAATTTCAAGTTGCTTGCATTATTGATAAGCTGCCCCCTTCGTGGAAAGATTTTAAGAATATGCTTAGACATAAAACCAAAGAATTTTCACTGGAAAGTTTGATTACTCGCCTAAGGATTGAGGAAGAATCCCGCAAGCAGGATATGAAAGAAGAGGTGATGGTCGTCACTGCTAAACGACCCACCCCTAGAACTCTTAAACCTAACCAGAAAGGGTTTAAGAGTAAGAACCAGCAGGTCCGCCCCCACCAGAATGGTGCCTCTCGAGGTAACCAAACGGTCATGGCCCAAACCTCTTAGAATGACCCACCGTTTATCTGCTATAACTGCGGAAAACCGGGTCATATGGCAAAAATGTGCAGGAACAAGCAAAACCCCGCCGCTGCGACCAGGGTTAACTTGACAGAAGAGGATTTGATAGCCATGATCACAGATATGATCGCTGAAGTTAACCTCACCGGTGACTCAGAAAGATGGTGGCTGGATACAGGTGCATCGAAGCATGTTTGCAACAATCGTGCTATGTTTAAAACATACACAGAAGCACCTGCTGACAAGAAAGTGTTGTTGGGGACTACTCACACCACTATGGTTGCTGGTTCTGGTGAAGTGGAGCTGAACTTCACCTCTGGGAAGAAGATGGTGCTCAAGGATGTGTTGCACACTCCAGAGATAAGGAAGAATCTTGTTTCGGGATATCTTCTTAATAAGGCTGGGTTTAATCAATCTATTGGGGCAGACTTGTATACCCTTACTAAGAATGAGAGTTTTGTGGGAAAGGGATATGCATGTAATGGGATGTTCAAGTTGAATGTCGAAATTAATAAGATGAATTCTTCAGTTTACATGGTGTGTGATTTGAATGTTTGGCATGCTCGTCTTTGTCATGTGAACACACGAATTATGAAGAATTTAAGCAAGCTAGGACATATCCCTAAACTCTCAATGAATGAATTTGATAAATGTGATTTTTGTAGCCAAGCTAAAATAACTAAAACGCCCCATAAATCTGTGAGTAGAGAATCAGAACCCTTAGATCTGATTCATTATGATATTTGTGAACTAGATGGGATGTTAACTAGGTCTGGCAAGAGATACTTTATCACTTTCATAGATGATTTCTCTGATTATTGCTTTGTTTATTTGATGAAAAACAAAAGTGAAGCCCTTGACATGTTCAAGGTATTTGTGGTTGAATTCGGAAATCAGTGCAATCGAAAGATAAAAAGACTTAGGAGCGATAGAGGATCAGAGTATGACTCTAATCCCTTCAAGGAGTTCTATAGCTCACATGGTATCATTCATGAAACCATGGCACCATATTCACCAGAAATGAATGGTAAAGCTGAGCGGAAAAATAGGACGTTTACAGAATTAGTTGTGGCTATTATGCTCAATTCTGGAGCTGCTTCTTCTTGGTGGGGTGATATTTTGTTGACGGTTTGCTATGTGCTAAATCGTCTTCCAAAAACAAATAGAAAAGAATCACCCTATGAGATCTTGAAGAACAAGCCACCTAATCTGTCCTATTTAAGAACGTGGGGCTGTTTGGCCTACGTAAGAATTCCGGATCCTAAGAGGGTTAAGTTGGCTAGTCGAGCATATGAATGTGTCTTCGTTGGCTACGCGGCCAATAGTAAGGCATATAGATTCTATGATTTGAATGCTCGTACTATAATAGAATCCATTGATGATGATTTCTTTGAGACACGATTTCCATTTAAAACGAGAAATAGTGGGGGTAATGGACTACCCGCTATTAGAGATAACGGAACTAGTGGGGGTGTTGGATCTGAGGATGAACTCAGAAGAAGTAAAAGAGCTAGAATCTCTAAAGATTTTGGTGATGATTTTACTACAGTATACACCCTCGAGGATCCAAAAAGTTTGCAGGAAGCATTAACTTCCATAGATGCAGACTTTTGGAATGAGGCCGTTATAGATGAAATGGAATCGTTAGAGGCTAATAAGACTTGGCATCTAACAGACTTACCTCCTGGCTGCAAAGTCTTAGGTAATAAATGGGTTCTAAAAACGAAACGGTAACCTGATGGTGCAATCGAAAGGTTCCGAGCTCGCCTAGTAGTCAAAGGCTACAGGCAGAGAGAAAATATAGATTTCTTCGACACCTATTCACCAGTATCTAGAATAACATCCATTCGTGTCATGATTGCTCTTGCTGCCTTGAATAATCTCGTGGTACACCAAATGGATGTTAAGACTGTTTTTTTGAACGATGATCTAGATGAAGAAATCTATATGGAACAACCAGAAGGGTTTATTATCCCTGAACATGCTTCGAAAGTCTGTAAGTTGGACAAATCATTATATGGTTTGAAACAGGCTCCAAAACAGTGGCATGAGAAGTTCGACACTCTCGTTCTCTCACATGGCTTTAAGGCGAATGAAAGTGACAAGTGTATTTACTGCAAGTCAGAGAATAACACTTGCACTATCATATGTTTGTATGTAGATGACATGTTGATATTTGGTACAAATATTCACGTGGTCAATGAAGCGAAAGCCATGTTAAAAGAGAGCTTTGAGGTGAAAGATCTGGGAGAAGCAAAGTTTATGCTTGGAATCCAGATAACTAGAACATCAAATGGTTATTCTCTGGATCAATCTAGCTACATAGAGAAGATCTTGAAGAAGTATAACTATTTCGACTGTAAACCTGCGTGTACTCCGTATGATGCTAGTGTAAAGCTATTTAAGAACACTAGAGACAGTGTAAGACAATCAGAATATGCTAGCATCATTGGCAGTCTCCATTATGCTGCGGATTACACTCGACCAGACATTGCATATGTCGTGGGATTGCTTGGCAGGTTTAACAGTTGTCCTAGTAGAGAGCATTGGAATGCTATAGAGAGGGTCATGAGATACCTCAAGAGAACATCAAACCTTGGTATACACTATCAAAGGTTTCCCACTGTACTAGAAGGGTATAGATATGCGGATTGGAATACCCTATCAGATGACTCCAAGGCAACCAGTGGATATGTTTTTAACATCGCTGGTGGAGCTGTGTCTTGGAAGTCAAAGAAACAAACAATCCTAGCTCAATCAACTACGGAATCAGAGATGATAGCACTAGCAACGGCTAGTGAAGAAGCAAGTTGGTTGAGAGGATTGTTGTCAGAGATTCGCCTATGGGAAAGGCCGGTCCCGCCGGTATTGATACATTGTGATAGTACCGCAGCTATCGCTAAAGTTGAGAACCGGTTCTATAACGGAAAGAAACGACAGATTCGTCGTAAGCACAGTACTGTTAGAGAACTCCTAACGATAGGAGCAGTGAGGGTGGATCATATAAGATCCGAACAGAATCTAGCTGATCCTTTGACGAAAGGATTACCTAGAGTGAAAGTCTAGAATACCGCCAAGGGTATGGGGCTTATGCCTACCGAACCACGGACTACAAGTGATGGTAACCCGATCCAATAGACTGGAGATCCCAAGAAATGGGTTCAATGGGTAATAACAAGTCATGAGTAGTATGCGAAAAGTTCATGCATAATGAAGCATGAATCCCAAAGCAATGGAGGTTGAGTTAATAACTCTTAATGAGATCTATACCCTATGTGGGGTGGAGTACTTTACTTTTGGGGTACTCCTGATAGACTCACCTATGTGAATGTGGGAGTGGGGCCGCTCCCTATGGAACTTTGGAGGCACAAAGTTGCTAGAGCGTTCACTAAACCAGGATAACATGCATGGCCATAAACGCACGGGCTAAGAAGAGAACACAACTCAATGAAAAGATCCGGTGTGCTACACTATCTGAGATAGGGTTCAAGACTACGAGTCACCCTTATGAAATCGGAAGTGTAACCACTACGCTAAGGTTCAAATCTTCGCGATACCTTAGCTTATGCCCGATCTTATGGAACTGTTGATGCTCAGAGATAGTTTCAAAACTATTCAAGTCGGGGATTGTTGGAAATGTGTATGAATAGCTTTGAAAGCTATAGAGTCTCAAGTGGAAAAACTACCACATTGGTAGTTTTACTTGGTGAATTGTGTATAAAGATAGGAGCCTCTCTCCTAAGGGCATGCCCCTTGGGGTGACCCACTTTTGTGGGAGAGGGAGGACCTAACAGACCACCACACACACGCGCGCGCGCGCCGTCTGTCCGACCGACCGGTCAGTTGGTTGGTTGGTTGAGACTATATACATATTTTTTGGAGAAATTTCGAACGAAATTAATTATGTAATTATTAATTATTAATCGGTTATCCTGAGGAATATTCTAGGGATAATCGATTGGAAAGGAATATTCGAAGGATAATCCCCGCAGTATTTATCCTAACCGACGGTTTTAATTAAGGAAGTAATTATCTTTCTTAATTAATCCGACTTATTCCCCAAGCAAGAGGGTATATTCCTAGGGGTTCGGCTCCTATAAATAGCCGCCTCCCCAGTCCCTCTAAACACACCACAACGAGCATAAACACAATAGAGAGAGTGTTTAGAGAGCTCCGGTTTTCGCACAAAACCGCGAGTACACAGAGGAGCTGTTTTATCCTGGAGACGACCGGTTGATAGTCTGCCGTGCGCATCGAGGGCAGTGCCGCGAACGTCTTAAAGAGAGCGACCTAGTCCGCGACTCAGCTCGAGATTCGGTAACCTCGTTCTTATTGTTGTTCCGTTCCTAACAGTTTCTTCATAATCCCTACCGTTCTCCGATGATCTAGAACCGTCACAAGAGGTTCAACTTCTTTCCCCGCTTCTCGCCCTCTTATATCTATTTTAAAAATTTCTGGAACCATAATTTTAGTTTTGTTCTGATTGATTTGAATCAACGAGATTTGGCTTGTTAACATGAATTAGAGAAGTAGTAGTCAATTTAGCGTTTTGGGTTCTTTAGTTATGATTAATTTTGATTGGAGCCTTACCTAAGAGGAAAATAGGATAAGTGTGAATTTCCTATGCTTCTGCTCGTCGAAGGAATTTCAGTCTCCCACGATTGCGGTCGTGCTGGACGAGGACCCCTACAGCAAGGCAGCATCGGCTGACTACCCCTGCACCAATGCGACGTCGACCGAGTTGGTGGACGCCAGACGGGTTGGTGGACGCCTGACGAGGGTGGTCGGGGCCGATGACAATCGATTGGTCACTCTTGGCAGAAGGGAGAAGGTGAACGGATTACAGCTGTAGCTTACGGGATTGCTTTTTTTTCTTCTTAATTCGACTGTAACTAGTTCAAAAGTAGATGGCATTTTGTTATTAATCAGGGGTACTTGGATAATTTCTGACCCTAGTTAACCGCGAGAAAACAAAATTTCTAATGGAAGGGTATTTCTGTTACGTTGGAATACTAGGACATGTTTGTGCGAAAAAATAGTACATGAGAACGTTTGTTAATTCGCAATAGTACAGGAGCAGAAAATGCTATTATCCTTTTTTAATTAAAAACTTTGTTTTTTTACTACTTTGAGTTATTTTTATTTCTGATATAAGAATATTTAATAAATTAGTGCCAAATTGGTAATTTTAGTACTCATTTAACATAATTAATACTTTTTTGTATGGAATGGTACTTTTGTTACGTTTTGATAATAGTGGGGTGTCTTTGTTAATATTCACTAGTACATGAATATAAAATACTATTAAACTTTCAAATAATTAATTTAATCTATTTTATAACTACTTACACAAAATGTTTATTATATATCATGCAACTTTCATTATTTTGTTGCATAAAAAATTGAGAGCAAACTGTTCATTGCGTGAAAAAATGTCATATTTTTTAGAGCAAACTGTTCATTGCATGAAAAAGAATGTCATATCGCAAAAAATTGAAGGTCATGTGGATCTTGAAGGCATAAAATTATCTTTCATAGTGTATGACTTATGTGCGTGTTTATTGAACTTCCATGAGCCTTCTACGAGAAGAGAAAGGAATGAGTCATTGGCTAAAGCAAGAATATTATTATATATGATATCTGAGGTGTTCTGCTGCAGATGTAATTCGCTTTCACTTGTCATGCATGTCGACATCTAAGAGAGCCGGTCGACGACACTGTTGAGAACTCTGTTGTATGATAAAAGCAAAGATGAATGAAGCAAAAAATTTGAAAAGTAAGAAAAAAATGGTACAAAAAGGAACATGTGTGTAGGTTTCCAAAGTGATCTAGAGGGACATAACCTGTTAACAACAATGGTTTGGAGTTAACCAAATAACACCTTATCCCCTCTTCAAAAAGTGGAAGAGACTGATTTTCTGACCTGCAATTCCATATGCAAGAGTTACTTAAAAATACTAAACATCATGCAGAGAAGCGTTTTCACTATTATTAAGGATCATAAACTCGATAATTATGATAAGACATCAATAAAAAAAGGTGTAGGTGAAAATGGGGAAATTGGAATGTCAAACAATCTATGTCATTCAAATTGTATGTTGTGGTTTTGATACATTCTATGCATCCTATCATAATACAAGGAGGGGGAGGAGGAATATTAACAAAAGAAAGAGTCAAATTAACTAAGAATACCGCATGAATAGGCCCTTTTGTTTAAGGGTTTCCGCCGAAGAAAAAAACAAACTAGAAAGAATTTGCTAGAATTTTCGATCTTTGGTTTTGATACTGTATTGGAACTGGAAATGTGAGCGAATCTAGATTAAAAACGAGAAAATAGAAACACAATCATAGCCTCCCAAAAAGAAAAAACAACATAAAACACCCAAAACATGTCCCAGGGAAAAAAGCGGTGACAAAACTCAATTACTGAATGCGAAAAATAAGTGTAGGCAAGCTGATAAATTCTCAAAAAGGAAAGTAAGTTGTCGAACCTATGTTTTTATCCACGATCTTATGACCAAACAATCAAGAAAACTAGTTAGTTTTTAATAATCAAATCATACGCACCGCAACTTGCAAAAGCCACTTTTCATGACTTAATAAGATGCCATCATTGACAAATAAAACCAAAAGATGGTTGGTAGCTTCATTTCAGAAGTCGCTTGTTGGAGTATTAGGGTCATAATCGTATGATTCGCCAGCTTTGACAAATCTTCCTTTCACTCTTTTTCTTGTATCAGCCCTCGCTTTGCGAGATGCGTATCTTATTTGCTTCCCAAACCTACAAACACACTACAAAAATCATTACGTGCGAAAACATTTTATTTGAAATATTGAAAGGCAAGCAGATTTAGGATAGACCATCACGAGGATTTTGTATAACTTTTTTCAGATCCAACTGAAAACACCATGAGCCTACACGGATTTGCAAAAACAATGGAAATTTTGAATAATAGGCTTTAGAGGGACACCAGAAGTTCGGGCAAAAAACACAGAGCATACTTAAATTTTGGGGGTATATGAAAGGGGTCAACACATCCTACTAAAACTGATGCGATAACAAATTATAGCATCCTGCAAAAGGTTAAACATGAGTAAGAAGATGATTGTTGGAAATGAACATGCATACCAACATAAATTTATAAATATTATACCTTCGTGTCTTCTTCTTTTCATTGTACCTCAACTTCGCTTGGACCCTAGCATGTGGGCCGCTAGGTTCCAAGGTCGAGTCCCATGGAGATTCGACACTAAAAAATGTCGGTGACAAGCCACAATCTTGGTGATCAGCAACACTACTTTCACCACTAATGTTGGACAAAGAGAGAGAGATGCTCGAATGAACTTGACCAGTGCCATTAGGGAACCCTAGGTTGATATTTCTGTTGTTACAATTTGGGGTCATGTAAAAGCAATTGCTACCACCACTTATAGCTGGCACAAGATTACTCGATCCAGCGGCAACATGATTCACCTGAAATGCAGTACATTCTTGTTGTGTCGATGATGTTGCCTTAAAATAACGCTAGGATATTAGATTCATATAATCAAGTGAATTTTGAACATATATAGAGGGAGCCATAGAATCACAAGGCAAACTAACCTCTGTAAAATTCTCGATTGGACCATTTGATTCTGTAAACGACAAGTTCCTCTCAATTGTCTTGCAATCTTTCCCCAAATCTTCAAATGTGCTTCTCGCATTACTTTGTAGACATCCAAATAAATCATCGGCATGTTCAAAATTCAATTGAACATCATCCATATTTAAACCATCACAGAGATCTTCACCATCATGCAATCCAAGATCTTTAAGATTTGAACAACCCTGCTCCACATTATATGTTTTGAAAAAAATGAACAACATGATAAATATACTTAACCTAGACCGAATCAAGATTTGAATTGAAAATATGAACTAATTGAATATAGTTTAATTTGATTTTTCATTCCTTACTTTTTCTTCTTAAAAAACAAGAAAAGTCTAGAGGACCAAAATTAAAATTTAATCAAACAAAATGTACTTCCAATTTAACTATGGTCTGCATTCTTGGTCATCATGCATTGCACACCACTAGCTGAAATTTATAAGACACGTAAGCTATTTTTACCTTTAGTACGCTTGATTCTTCTGGTAGGAAAGTCGATTGATCTCTATAGTACTGAATGTAACTCGTATTCGGTGGAGCAATAGGTGGTGGAGGAACCCCCACCAAAGGATCCAGTTGCTTGAAACCACCATCGTTGGACCTTTGGTCAAAACTACCACTCCCTGAAATCTCATTGGCTTGCAAGTTAACAAGAGACAATGGTAGTGATGGAGGCTGTTTCAATCCAGGATCAAATCCATCGGCCAAAGAAGGAACCTCGAGAACTGAAGTCAATATTCCAAAAAACTCTGACAAAGTAGGGCAACCTGTGTAGTAATTTAGTGGTTGTAGCCTATGTCCTGAAGTTGAGCATCCATTAGCATTACTCCATTCACAACCTTCGCATACTGAAAGGTTCTCATCCAAACACCGAATTGTTGCAGGTTGTGAATTGCACTTGTCGCAGAGAAGGGATCGTTGGTGCCTACGGGATAGCAAGTTGGCTGAATGCACGTAGCCATCACACTTTAAGCATAGTCTAGCTAAATCTGATTTGCAATAAACCACTGCTTTCTCCGTGGTACAACAGTCGCATAAAGGCTCCATTGTCATATCTTTTTTTTGTACTTTCCTTCTAACATAAAATTGATAAAAAGGAAAAAAAAAAAAGACTCTAACAAGGTGAGAATCCGGCTTTTTTATTAAATCCAGTAGTTCTTGTCAAACCTGCAAAGAGAACCCACTTTTGGAATCCTTGAAAAGCTTTCTTCCACCAACAATTCATGGAAAGAAAAATCATGATAAACACAAACACCGAATGTTCAACTCACCAATTCGATGACATCCATTCTTATTCAAGGGAAATAGAAAGGGAAATTACCAATGAAGAAATGAACGTCAAACTGCGCCCTTTATTAAGCTGGGATCAACCATTGCCGAGAATGCCTAAAGGAACCATGAATGGACACTCTGATCGAAAGAACATGGAAAGAGTCCTTGAACCAGATGCCTTTTTTTCTATCTACGATGATTTCAAACAAAATTAAACAACATTAACAGTTGAATCCATGATGTAAGAGGAGCTCTGTGTGTTTTTTTCATGTGGAGTTGGGAGTGACTGATCATAATCAGAGAATGAATTAATCAGTCGCGGAGGCATTTGAGAGAAGTGGAAGAAGAAGAATAAGAAGAAGAAGAGGAAAAAGAAAAGGGTTATTTTGTTTGTTTCCCCCCCGAAATAATAGCGTGAGTTTTTGCCATATTGCGGGATGGCCGGAGAGAGGGTTTCAAAGCTTATTTTTATTTGTTTATAGAAGTTTTCACAGTTTCAAGACACTGATTCATGTGATGTGGCTACGAGTCATGGTTATGCATGTTCATCGGAGAATTCATAGGAATGTCATTAAGGGTAAATAAAAGAGAAGATAAGGTTTTTTTTCAATGAATATTCTAATAGTGTACTAGCTTTCCCTTTTTCTTTTTTTAAAATTTCTCCTTCAGTTTTAGAGATAATTTTCGTCTTAAACTTTATCATTGTCATTGTCAAAGTAACAAGATAGTTGACATATTTGGTTAAAGCATTTACAAAAATGTTGTGTTTATGTAGTTGGCTTATAAGTTTTGTGATTCAAAATCATTTGATATATATGATGATAATTTTAAAACATATTGTCACATTTACATTCAAGAGCTGTAAATTGTGTGAGGGCGTGATTGAATGACGCAAACATGTATATACATAATACCTTGTAAGATCATAGCCATATTAGAATTTTGAAAGTAAGAATAGAGGGATATATGAATTTTCCTTTAATACGTACCCTTTTTTAACTAATTCACCATCATCTGGTACTTTTATAGTTTCTGGAAATTGATTAAATAGAATTGAAACCTGTTAGACCACAAGAACACAAATTTCTCGTTATTAGTTTTAAATTCAAAATCTTGATTTTATTTTTAATTTATAATCATTAATTTATGGGCGGAGGAAATTAGTTTATTATAATTCATTGAATCTAGACTTTAAAGACAACCATGCTACGCTTTTCTTGCCAAGTGAAGCTGCATTCGTAAGTTTCCAGTCTCGATGCATTGGTTAAACTTATCCTATGAATATCTCGTGTATTTTGTACTTAACTAACTACCTCATTTAACGCACTATGTTCATTCAAATTACATATCATTGCATGCCAAATTTTGTGTTATGAAATAAAGATTGTATGATAATCCTTGTATTCTCACAAAGTTATCTAACCTGATTAATTTATAAGTTATAATATAATAATTTATTATTTGATCATTGGAGAAGATCTTTGTGATTAGAGAAAGTCACTTATTTGATTTGTAGAGTTAGATACAGTAGTATACACAAGCTTTTACATTCATCCTATCTAATACTACTACCCAGATTCTAAAAAATTACAAGACTTTCACTCTCACTCAAAGGTTGTCAAACCGGTTTATACCGGGGCGTCGATTTCACAAGTGGAATGGTCCAGCCGTGGTACAACCAGTATTCATGCTGGTTATGATAATTTTAATAAAATACATGAGAAAAATGGAAATCCTCAATTCCAAATAAACTAGTCATGAAAAAGCAATGAGAAGAATTATTTCACACAAAATAATTTATAGATAAGAATTGGTAACTAATAGTAAACCGACCCGACCCAATGATGTTGGGTTTTGATTTTATTGGGTGGGTTTGGATTTCATGTTATGCAAATCGTGATGTATGGGTCGGGTGGCTAAAGTGGTCCAAAATCGACCCACCCGACCTATGTACCCCTACCAAACTCTTGTCATAAATTGTTAAACACAACCTCATCCAACAAAGCCACAACTACTATATACAAAATTTTAACATCATTCATAAAACTAAGCAAAATACCTAGAACATGTGTCATTATGACTCAATCAACTATGTTGTCCAATGGCTATTGTGGTCAGGTATTACCCGTCCTAGCAGGATGGGTTCGGATCAGGCCTGATAATACCTAGCAGGACGAGTTCAAATTTTTATAATTATTTATATAGTTAAGAGTTTGAGATATACATGTATCACTATAGACCAAATTTTGAGGTCTTCTTTTGTGAAAACAAAGCAATTTCAATGACTTTCTATTGTTTATTCAATACAACACTACGAGTCTCAGAAACTCGAGTTACATCATAGTTAGCCCAATACCGAAGACTAGGCTATATGGTTATGGGCACGATTCTATAGAAATCACTCAATCACTTGTGTGTTGCTTAAGAGTTTTTGTTTCGTATGTTTATGGTTGAAAATTTCTAAAAAACTGAGTTGATTATGGTCTTCTATAATAATAAAAAAATTGTGGAAAGTAGGCTGTCACAATTAAGTATTGAATGCATTTATTGAGTTTGTATTAGCATATTTATTTATTCAAATTTGTATAACCATGAAATTTGGGGAAAGTTTCATTTTTTATAGTGGGGAAGTTCAACTTTGATGCAATCATATTTAGCATCTCTTTGGATCGTAAGTAATTCAATTAACTCTTATAGGGAAAGGAATAAAGCGGCGGACTTCCTCGCTAATAAGGCTCATTCTTGTAGTTCTGGTTTTCATGAGCTCAACTCTTTGGATTCGGGTTTGAGATACTGGATTCTGTATGATACTGTGGGCATTAGGGCTGGGAAACGGTGCGGTCTGGTCCAGACCAGACCATATATACGGTCTATGGTCCAGACCGAGAGGCTAAAGTATAGACCATAGACCAGACCACAGACTATACGGTTCGGTCCAGACCACGCCTGTGCGGTCTGGTTCGGTCTGGTTTGGTCCAGATAGACCACACTCAACGAAAAATGAATAATTTGTTTAGTCAATCACACAAAAAATTGAACCAATAACCAATAAAAATAATTATTATTTGCCTTAAAACATTAATCCTAACATGCATGAATAATTTTGATACTCTAAATCTTAGTACATAACAAAGATACAAAGTAAAAACATCCCAGCTTGCACCATAACGTCATAAACATTAACATAATGTCATATGGAGACACTATTATCTCTACTCTCTGGTTAAATGTGGTTGTGAATGAAGGAGGGAAGAGATTCACAAAATTAAGGTTGAGACTTGGATGTCGTTGTGGAAGTTTGGAGAATGGTTGAATGGGCTGTTAACAAGTATTGACAAGTCAGTTGGGTCCACGGTTTGGTCCGGTAAACCGCGGTCTAGACCAGACCAGACCAAGAGGTCAAATCATAAAATAATACAGACCATGGACCAGACCAGACCATACTTCACGGTCTACGGTCCAGACGAAACTGTGCGGTACGGTTTGGACCACGGTTTTTCTAACGGTCTGGTCTATTTTCCCAGCCCTGGTGGGCATTGCCCAATCTCGCTTAATGTAGTGCTAGGCAGGGGTGCCCTTTTAGCACCCCATTTTTCACAAAAAAAAAGTAATTCAATTAACAAATCTCTTTTTCTTTTTCAAATTCATTGTGTCAATAAATTTGGCACAATTTTACCCGTTGATCCATACATTTAGTATACATTTTCATGATCTCCAAATGTGAGAGTTAAACAAACCCAAAGGTGTTGGATTTATATATGACTCGCTATGACACAACTCCTAACAATGGCCAAGTGTAACCAATGAAAGGGACTGCAGTATAGTGGCTCAAGTAATAAATATCGAATCCACGGGTCTCTAGAGTTACTATTACTCAGCTTCAGTTCATTATCTAGCAAACCAGATTAAGATGAAAGAACTAAAACTACTCTAGCAAACTACAGTTAAAGTTAATCTAATTACAGGTTGGGAACTCACTTAGGTATGATTCCCCCTAGCCACTAGCCAGATTAATGATTGATGATCTCTAACCTGCTTCACTTTCATTCACAATGCGGAGAATCCTTAACTAGACCTTGAGTCTCGACTAAAGGAACAAGGCCCTCTTGAGTCAATTGCCTAGAGGGACGTATCCTTCTCTAGAACAACCGATCAAGGCGTTCTGAACTAGACTCCCTCTATCGAAAGAGGTTCTCAATCGATACAAAGCAGTGAATCAACCCTCGACTAAAGCAATCAATCCACTACTATCAATCTATGGTGCTCTATTGACCTAATCAGGTATTCGCTCTCATAGGATCAAAGCAGAATCAATAATCTCGACTAAAGCAGAATTGAATCATGAAAACATGCATAGATTGAATATGAACTCAAGATTACCAAGTCAGAGTACTCATACAATCATCCAATCAAACAAACATGGCTAGGGTTCCTCAAAACCTAAGTGAAGGGAAGTTACTCCATAGAGAAGAGAGAGACTGCAGTAAGAATCTTCAGATGATCAGTCTTCAAGTCCGGGCTCATTCCTCGAGCTTCCAAGGCGAAGAAATCCTCCAATTGCACTCCAAGAATGCCCTCAAATCGCCCCCTCTCTCTTTGGTTCGTCCCTTGGGTGTTTGGGATCCAAAACCCAGCTCTCCTCTCCTTTGGCTCGAATTTGGGTTAAAAAACCCGATTCTGGGCAAAATACGGTCGCGGGCACGGCCGTGCTTTGGTTTTGCCCGCCCGTGGTTTGCCCCCATGTTAAAAACACGCCCGGGCGCGTTGGCCAAAACACGGTCGTGCCTAAATATGGGCACGGCCGTGTTTTGATTTAGGCGCGCCCGTGTTTTTACTGCCGAACCTGTTCCCCTATATTCAATGCTTCGTTTCTCCCTCGTCCGGACTCCGAATCAGTCGCCGTTTGATCTCAGACGCTCGTAGTCTCGTCCTCTTTCTTTTCATGACAAGCTTGCATGATTATTTGTCCATAAAGTGAGGTAGAAATCCATTCTTCTTCAGGTCATGCCCAAGTTTCTGCTCCCGAATCGCCAATTGATCTCTGATTGACTTGAAACTTGCGCCTATGCTTCACTTTATGTGCTAGGACCTGAAATATGACAAAGGAACACAACCTAGCGTAAAATAGGCCAAAGATGTGATAATTAAAGCTCAAACGATCAAGAAACACAGGGGAAAACATGTGCAAATATCGAGTAATCAAATCCCCCCACACTTAACCGTTTGCTTGTCCCCAAGCAAACCTAACTCAAACCAATGCAGCTCTCCAGACCTCTATAGCAACAAACAACCCCGATCGTCGGTAGAGGACTTTCTAGATCATAAAGCAGCTT